TTTTTGTTGTTGTTTCTTGAAACATTGATTTAAAGTGTCAGTTTTTGCATTATTATATCAGTCAAACCTATAAACCCCCTTTTACATATAAAAGCTTTATCAGTGGCATAAAAGTAACCAATTCAGCTACTTAATCATTTGCTACTCATTAACGCAGGGGTCTTTAGACGTGCAGTCGTTGGTGTAGAGGGAGAAGAGCAGTGGGGAGAGAACACTTTAGGTTTATGGAACCCTTTGTAGAGGCACGTCTGATATCGAGCAGTTTGTCTTCAAATAGGGATTTTTCAGATATATTAGGGAATGACTCCAATGATTGACTTCTAATCCAGTGTCTTATTTAAGTCAAATAATTCAGATAACTGAAGTAAGCTAGCAAATATTCCATTTACATAAAGATCACCAATTGTTTTAATTCCTTTCTTAATCCAGCTTTGTACAGTTTTGTCAACAATGGGACTTGGGATATTAGGATTTCCATCAAGAGGAGTGTTCACAAATAACGATGTGTTTAAGCCTAAGAGTCTATGTGATTCCTGCCATGCATCAAAGGAGAACAGGGTTTTTCGTAATCACAGAAAGCTTCTTCCTTGTGCCCAGAAAATGAATAACTGTTACTGGCGTAGTTTTCATTTCATGCCGCTCTATTGAGACCCATCTCACGTCACTGTTCCTTGGATGCAGCCAAATCCACAGTGGGCCGAACTGTGATGCTAGATATTAAAGTCTAAAATTTGGGAGATTCAGCCCTCCTTTAGCCTGCGGGGCCTAACTCTTGGGGCTTTCTTATGCCATACAAATGTGGATATAGCTTTGTTAAGATCCTTAAAAAGATATTTACACAAAAACATTTGGTACTAAAAGAGATGAAATATCTCGGGGACTGAAGTATGTTCGGTCATCAGAGTTTGGATGACAAGAACAGTTTGGGAGGCTCAAGATCAGACATTGTGCCTTTGTTTATCATTGTATGTAAACTCATAAAATGGGACAAACACCTCAGAATATGTTTTGAGAAACTTCATTAACACTCCACGACAGATCATTAGGTTTCGGATGTTTTCACACACCATTATGAAACACATGGGCGAATTCCAAACACACACACACACAAAGAAAAAAAGAAAGAAAAGGGCCAAGACCAAAACGGCTAAACACAAAGCTTTTAATGGTCTTAACCACAAATGACTATTAAGGAAATCAGCGAGAATTAAGCAAATGCACTCCTTAAAAGCTTTTTCTGTCTCAGAAATAATCAAAGACAGATGAGAATGAGGTTTGTGGCAGAAATCAGAGATGAGTCTGAGTCTGTGAGAATTATAATAATAAATGCGTCTTTACCACAGTAAAGCGTGGAGGAAGATGATGTGAGCTGATCATTGTCCAAACCTCATTAATGCTGTTTGTGATTATTACAGTCTCACATTAAACTCTAACTGGAAGATGTTTTTCAACTAATCATGAGGTGTTTGAAGCCATCAGGATTGAGTGGAACAACACTGACTCTGACATGACTTCAAGATGTAACGAAGGCTGTCCCGTACCGTACAGAATTATTTCATCTACAGTATTTGTGTAATTCTTGCTAATTTAGCTGATTTCTGGTTATTATAGTGAAATATGCACAGTAGAGTGTGTATGGTGTGTGGCCCAGGCTTCACTAGAGGGAGCTCATCTGCAGCTTTACATTCTTTAGGAAGGATATAATCATACAAATCCAGTAATTTCTTTAATACTTTATCATTTATCACATGGTATAGTATTCTGTGAGTTGTTGATGGCTACTCTTCAAACCACATTTATTTCAGAATTGCAGAAGTTTGGTCAAGCTTGCCTAAGTGTTCATGCTTCTAATGATTTTGTTAACATAAGCTCTTTTCCTCTGGTTATCTGTAACTGCTTCTTTTTAGAGAACTTCCGGAGATTCCGGACAAATAAGCGTGCATGTTGTATTTTTAAAGTCCTTTGAAGTGAACGTGGTGCTGAACGGTCTCCCCGCTCGCGAGATGAAGTGGTTCAGTCCAGGATCGCGGAAGTTCTGACGAGAGAGAGAGAGAGAGAGAGAGAGAGAGAGGTTAGTGTGTGTGGATACATGTAACGACACAGAAGCGCCACGCAGAGACTCGGAGATGCGGCGGAAGCAGAAGAGGCTGCTGCAGGTCGCGCTGCTGCTGCTGCTGGTGTTTCTGTTGCTGCCGAGCGTCGGCTTGTGGTCCGCGTCTCTGGAGCGAATGTTGGACAGCTCTGCGGACGCCGCCGGACTCTCGCACCTACAGGTACGACAGCGTTCATACTCTCTGAGTCTACAACATCGCAGCAGAAACTCTTAACTCGCTCGTATATGGCAGTGTTACGTGGCTAGGAGAGTCTTTGACTTCAAGTTCCGCCGGAACGTCAGATGAGGAACGCGACGCTTTATCGCGCTGTAGACGGGCGTATCAACGCGCTGGTAAACTATTGGTTGATCAGTTATTATATGGTTCTTTTGAACAAAGTTCACAGACCGATAACAAATTGACTTTAGACGTCTATGATGTGTAATTCTGTCATGTACATTAAAACACTTAGACCTACTAGTACAGTATTTTTCACGTTCAGATAAAACAAACATTAAACTTGTTCATATGGTTCTTGGGTTAAATAGAATTATCAATATTAACATGAACATTAAGTATGAAAACTAAAGAAAAGCATAAATCAGCTCTCTCAATGGTTGTTTAGCACTACTGTCTGCTTTAGAGGAATATTGATTATTTTTCAGATAGTACTTTAATCACTTCTTTAGATTTGAGCATAACAACAAATAAAGCCATTCATTTGATTTTGGGGAAAAATAAATCAATAAATAAAACCACACAACTAGATTATTTTTTGTTTACTTGATTGTGTTGTAATGAACCTGTCATAAAAAGAATTAGCATTGTGAGGCCATTTCTTTTAGGAAATTTGAATGAATTTTACAATGACAGTTTTTGATTTATGAGTAAAGCAATCGTTTACACAAAAATGTGACTTGCAGTATCTTTTTCCTTATTTCTGAGTGAATACCTGATTGAGTTAATTGAGTACAGCACGTCAGAAGTGATGTGGAAATATCAGTGTGTCCGTCAGCTGAGGTTGTGTCTCTGGCCATAAAGCATCCCAGCGCGTCTTCTGATCTTCATCTCTGTCTCCTCTTCATCAGTAGCTGGATGGGATGATGTGTGATGGGATATAATGCTTGTTATGCGACCCTGAGTTTGCAGAAAGGCATTATTTAAAAGAAATCATTCTTATTATTAAAGTACAATAGGGCTGCAATAATTCTTCGATCTTATGTGAGTATTTTATTTCAGTAAAGTGTAAAACTGTTGGCGCCCTCTGCTGGCTTGTGTTATTATGTGTAATGTAGTTTAGCGCTACAGTTTTGTTCAATAAAATCATATAATTACTTGCGTTTGATACTTTATTTGAACTAATTATTATTGCCTCGTTGCTATTATATATGTATTTTAAGTCATTTTAAACGCTATTCTTCGCTTATGTCTGTTTTTATTACAACAACAAAATTAATTATATCGGATCAAAGCGTAAACAACCTAGACAATGTTTCCGCGTGGTGCAGCTGAACAGCATACGTTGTTTACGTTCAGTGCTATTTTGGGACACCATGAATATGAACAAAAATGGCTTTTAACATACTATCTCTGTATTTAAAAATATATTTAGTTACCACTTGTAGTACACTTCAACCCATCTTTCATACACTTGTCACTAGTGTACTACAAGTGGTGACTAAATACATTTTTAAATACAGAGATAGTATGTTAAAAGCGCATTTTAGTTCATATTCATGGTGTCCCAAAATTGCACAGTTGATCTTAAGTTTATCTTAAGCAGTACTAAAGAATTATGTTTAGTATATTAAGTATAAAATTAGTGTGTGGAAATAGAGCACTTTAACTCTTTCCCCGCCAGCGTTTTTGAAAAAAGTTGCCAGCCACCGCCAGTGTTTTTGCTGATTTTCACTCAAATTTCATAGCCCCCTGAATATTTTTTTGTATGAATATCTGAACATGCAATACATCAAAATAAAGATCAGACCCTCTACTTTCAAACAAAAAAAATCTGTTTTATTCTAGCTTCAAGCATTTTTTTATCAACACTTGAATGTAGGTAAGTTTCATAAAATCAGCAACATTTTGAGCAAAAAGCTGAGAAAAGCGCATTTTTTTTGTCTGGATCATATTCAGTAATATTATCAAAGCAAAGATGCAGTAGATGGCTTCCATCAGCACTCCCAAAGCTTGCACAGGCCTTTAACACTTTCTGGATCCACATTTCACATTAGGCAGTTTTTATTTATATGCGGTTAGTGTTGATGATCTTGTTATTTTTCATATGCATATGCTTACATATGAGATCGCTCGTTTCTGCGTCTTCCTGGTCTGTGTTTTTGATCAGCACTTTCCACACTCATTCAGGAGATGCATAATAGCGCCCCCTAGCGTATAACAGCGAAAACACAGAAACCTGGAAAATTGCGTGTTTGGCAGGGAAAGAGTTAAGTACATTATAGAAGTGTACTTTTTTTTTAAACCTGGGAGACATCAGCAGTCCGATCTGTAAAGTAGTGTGTACAGTCAAATACGTACGGTGCTGTGGAAGGCTTATCATCTTACATAGGTGAAGCCCATATGGGTTTGGAATGACATGAGGATTATAAATATAATATATATGCTCCTGTAGTGCTGCTGGTGTTCATAGGGAAGGCTGTGCGTGGTGTTGTTGAAAGGCGGTGTTGTTCAGGCTCTCGGCTGGCTCTGGTCCAGGCCGCTGGTCTGATAGCGCCTCTGTTTCCCGAGCTTCAGCAGGTGCATCCATCCCTCACACACATTCACTGTCAGCGTCGCTTCACCCACACACACTATTACACCTGGAAGAACCGTTTCATGTCACCTCGTGCACACAAACAGCTTTTCCGTTCCAGATCATTCACTCCTCCAATTTACCACACTGCTCTGCTTCACAGCCAAGGTTTTGGGACGTGCTTGTTTTTAAAAGAGGTGTGGCTGTGAACAGTGTTTGGATTTAAAAATCAGATACGCAGCAGAAAACTGCGTCCCAATTCACCTACTTACACTAACGCCCTGGCCTGAAGTATGTTCTCTTTTTGCGAAGAAAGCATAGATCCTTTTGAGTGTGTAGAAGAAGCTTTGGGACAAACTACCAGCTCAGAAAGTCCTGTCACAGAACGAGAGAGGATTCATGACCCTTTACAGCTCCACTGATGAATCATCATACTTCAACAGAACAGAAATAGCAAATCAGACATCATTTTCAGTCTTGCTAAGCGTTTCATACAGACTCTTTATACAGGTAACATAGATCTAACAACTGGCCCTAACTACAAAGTAGCATAGTTTCATTCATTCATCCTCGGTTCTGGTGTTTTGTAAAAGGTGGTTTGTTTGGTTCCATGTTTAGACACAAGGGTTGTTCTTTCTCTCCATCCTCTTGTACTTTCTTCACAACTATTGCATTACTAAGACTAGCACACAGTCTTCCTCATAACATCACATGCTTTGTGTTTTCAGAGAATAAACAGACACAAAGTGGAGAACGACGGCGTTCGGAAGAAGGACTGGCATGACTATGCACTGATGAAGAGTGAAGCAGCATGTTCAGGTGCGTCACGTGATGCATGAAGTGTGATAGAGCTGGACTGCAGATGAGTGTGATGGTGAATCTGTGGTGTGTTGAAGGTGTCGGTGAGCAGGGCAGGCCGTATCCGCTGACCGACTCGGACCGTGTGGACCAGGCCTACAGGGAGAATGGATTCAACATATTCGTCAGCAATCGCATCGCCCTCAACAGATCCCTGCCTGACATCAGACACCCGAAGTGAGCCGCTCTCGTCTTCCACTTCAATCTAAACCTCTGCAGCACATGTCTGTCACGATTCCTGCAGTCTCCACGCATTACTGTACATCAGCAGCAGATACTCTGCTTGAGTTACTGTGTAGAGCACAACAGGAGTACACTACAACAGGCCAACAATGTCTTTGCTCTATGTGACCCTGGAGCACAAAACCAGTCATAAGGGTCAGTTTTTGAAAAGATTTGAATAAATAAGCTTTCCATTGATGTATGGTTTGTTAGGATAGGACAATATTTGGTCGAGATACAACTATTTGAAAATCTGGAATCTGAGGGTGCAAAAAAATCTAAATATTGAGAAAATCATCTTTAAAGTTGTTCAAATGAAGTTCTTAGCAATGCATATTAATAATCAAAAATTAAGTTTTGATATATTTACGGTAAGAAATGTACAAAATATCTTCATGGAACATGATCTTTACTTAATATCCTAATGATTTTTGGCATAAAAGAAAAATGTATCATTTTGACCCATACAATGTATTGTTGGCTATTGCTACAAATATACCCCAGCGACTTAAGACTGCTTTTGTACTCCAGGGTCACATATATATTTATATTGAAAAACATAGCGGCCTGGAGAAGTCTTGAACATTTCTGTTGTCAGTATACATTTAAGTCATGCTCCGCTCTAAAATATTAAACTGTTGTAAAAGTGGTTTGGTGGGTATCTCTCGAGTCCCAGCCGAGTTTGTCGATGTGGGTTTGCTCTGGTTTCACTGCAGGACAGGTGACACTAAACTGCCCTGTTAGTGTTTGTTAGTCCTGCGATGGACTGCTCTCTGTCTAGGCTACAGTCCAGCAGCAAAAGTTAAACAAAAACAAGGAAGGCAAAATTGGTTCTGGAGCCTGCAGCACAAAAGCAGTCATAAGCAGCACAGGTATATTTGTAGCAATAGCCAACAATACATAGATTTTTCTTTTATGCCAAAAATCATTAGGATATTAAGTAAAGATCATGTTCCATGAAGATATTTTGTAAATTTCCTACCGTAAATATATCAAAACTTAATTTTTGATTAGTAATATGCATTGCTAAGAACTTCATTTGAACAACTTTAAAGATGATTTTCTCAATATTTAGATTTTTTTGCACCCTCAGATTCCAGATTTTCAAATAGTTGTATCTCGACCAAATATTGTCCTATCCTAACAAACCATACATCAATGGAAAGCTTATTTATTCAGCTTTCAGCTGATGATGATGTATAAATCTCAATTTCAAAAAATGTACCCTTATGACTGGTTTTGTGCTCCAGGGTCACATTTATTTGGAAACCAGCATTCTTCTATTTAGGTTGTAATAGTGAACGGTTGCAGGCTGCGGTTGCTGTGAGACGTCTGATGTGTGTCATGTTTGACTTGTCAACTACGATTCCGGTTCCACGTCTAAATATATTTACACAGTAGTGAACAAACCAGTTTAACCAGACAGTGAGTGAAGGGTTGGGAAAAGAGAGCTGGCAGCATTTTTGATGACCAGGGCCCTTGTTCTTCGTGCCTCACCTCCATAGATGTTGAGTCCTCCCCAATCACTACAAATGGCTCAAATTATCCAAAAAATGTAATATTCTTGATGCTTTTGAAGTTTTAGGCTGGCCTGCGTCAGTCTAACAGCGCTCGTCAATGTGAGAATGAATGTGACTGATGTTTTTAATTAGACTGTCGTCACACGTGATCACAGTGTGCTATAGATTTAATGCAGAGGTTTGTATCTTTTATATCAGTAACTTAAGTGTGGCAATAATTGAAAATAGTTCCAAAGGAAAGCATAGCATCAAGCTGTGACTGTATGTCCGTCATGAGTGTGTGTGTCACCCTGAATGCAGTTGTGTTTGTGTGTCGCAGCTGTAAGACGAAGCTGTACACAGAAGATCTTCCCAACACCAGCATCATCATCCCCTTCCATAACGAGGGCTGGTCGTCTCTGCTGCGCACCGTTCACAGCATCCTCAACCGCTCGCCACCGCAGCTCATTGCCGAGATCATCCTTGTGGACGACTTCAGCGACAAAGGTACGAGTCGCTCCGCGTCCAACAGCGCTTCATTCAGTGAGAGTGAGTCTGAACAGCGCATGTGCATGAGGATCATCATCAGAAATATGATGTTTCCGGGCTGTATGTCAGTCTTAACCTGTCATCTCGTGTAAGTCAGCCAGCATATTTGATTTGTGTGACAGATTGTGAGCTGCTGTTTCTGGGATGATCCTGGTTTGTCCCTGCATCTGTACTGCGTCACATGTTTGCATAAGCGTCAGATTATGACAGCCATAATCCTCTCTCCATGAGTCCGCTTATGAAGGCTGTCTCTTGTTTTAATCAAGCATGAAAACACATTTCAGTATTTGGGTTTCTTCTCACTCGTCCACACTATATTCGTGTCTGGATCTGATGCAGGGTCCCATCACTGAAGTCAGGACCGGCCCGGACAAACACTGAAACACTGGCACCACAAATACTGCAGAAAAACTACATTTATTTATAACATAGAAATATGGACTGAATCATCTGTGAAGATAGCACATTTGATGAATAACATGTTTGTATATACAGTATTAAGGCTGGGTATGTCAGCTGTGACTCAAAGACATCACAATGCATCACAATATATCACAATATATCACTATGCATTACAATATATCACAATGCATCACAATATATCACAATGCATCACAATATATCTCAATGCATCATAATATATCACAATACATCACAATATATCACTATGCATCATAATATAGCACAATATATCACTATGCATCATAATATATCACAATATATCACTATGAATTACAATATATCACAATGCATCACAATATATTACAATACATCAGAATATATCACTATGCATCACAATATATCACAATACATCACAATATATCTCAATGCATCATAACATATCACAATACATCACAATATATCACTATGCATCATAATATATCACAATATATCACTATGAATTACAATATATCACAATGCATCACAATATATTACAATACATCAGAATATATCACTATGCATCACAATATATCACAATACATCACAATATATCTCAATGCATCATAACATATCACAATACATCACAATATATCACTATGCATCATAATATATCACAATATATCACTATGCATTACAATATATCACAATGCATCACAATATATTACAATGCATCAGAATATATCTCAATTCATCACAATATATCACTATGCATCACGATATATTACAATACATCACAATATATCTCAATGCATCACAATATATCACAATGCATCACAATATATCACAAATCAAATTCACACAAATTCATCCAAGCCACTTTTCGGGATTCCTTTAGTCAAATGATTGCCTCAAAATGAGCAAAATATTGTGCTGTATCTGACTGAAATAAATTATATAAGAATCATGAAAGAGACTAACTCAATCACAGCTTATGTTTTATGATCGAATCACATCTGAAGTGTTTTCATCGGTGGATTCAACATTGAGAAAGGAAGAGGGTTCAATAGTTTAAGCTCTATCGACAGTCTTCAAAGGTCACACGATGGTTTTATTTGAGGAACAGAATTTGTGCCACACATTTCAGTTTGCTGCATCTCGATGGTTCACGTGAGAAGCGACAGTATCCAGCGCTGTAATGTCACACAGGAATGAAGCTGCTGAAGAATAAAAGCCAACAATTGTGTGATTTCCCTGTTTAATACTGTAAAGCTGCTTTGACACATTCTGCATTGGAAAAAGCGCTGTATAAATAATGGTGACTTGACTTGACTCTGTGTCCTCTAGAGCATCTGAAGGCTCCTCTGGAGGAGTACATGGTGCAGCTGCCGAAGGTTCGAATCCTGCGCGCTAAGAAGCGTGAGGGTCTGATCAGGACCAGACTGCTGGGCGCCGCGGCTGCGAAGGGTCAGGTCATCACGTTCCTGGACTCACACTGCGAGGCCAATGTCAACTGGCTGCCGCCGTTACTGGGTGAGAGCATTAACATCAACACTGTTATTACCGTGAAGATGCTCTGAAGCAGTCTGCACTGCATAAAGCGCTGTAGAAATGAAGGAGACCTTCAGCTCCTGAAGCTGTTATTTGATGGCAGTGAATGATTGGTTTTCAGATCGCATCGCAGAGAACCGGAAAACGATCGTGTGTCCGATGATTGATGTGATCGACCACGATAACTTCGGCTACGAGACACAGGCCGGCGATGCGATGCGAGGGGCTTTCGACTGGGAGATGTACTACAAATTTTTACTTGTCTAGAAAATCCTTCTTGATTTAAGAATTTTTAGATATTTTGGCTGGAAACAAGACAAAAGGTCTAAGCTGGAAAAGCATTTTTTGCAGTGTGTGTGAGTGAGAGTGTGTGTCTGTGTGTGTGAGAGTGTGTGTGTGAGTGAGAGTGTGTGTGTCTGTGTGAGTGAGTGAGTGCGTGTGTGAGTGTGTGCACTGCAAAAAATGCTTTTCTAGGTGTGTGTGTGTGTGTGTGTGAGAGAGAGTGTGAGTGAGTGAGTGCGTGTGTGTGTGTTACTGCATGCTGTTTTTTTCCCCATAAAACACTTTATTTCTGACATTCTGGAGGGAAGATGTTTTGAATATTCACACTTCACTTCCTGCATCGAGCAATCGTGTCGTTATCTGATACGTTTAATTGACACGTGGCCACGTAACTGTGTCTCATCCAAACCGATATAAATCCAGTCATTGATATCCACGCTATACACACATTCAGTGGAGCCGACTTCACAAACTCAGCAGCAGATGTTACATGTGTCATTCCGGCTCTAGCACTCATAGTGTCGTTTAAGAGATCTGGTTTGTTTGTGTGAGGCGTGTGTTACAGTAGCGCTGTGCATCTGGCTAGCAGTAAAACACGCTCACACTTTTATTTATTGCTCTTAGGGAGAGGAAAATATACATCTGTGGCTTGAGCAAGCAGATCCGTCTGTGGAGGGTATTTACAGCAGTCAGTGAAAACACACGAGTGAACAGGCTCTCTGGGATTATTATGACCCCACTGACTTTCATCGTATAAAGAAAAACATTCATAATCTTCTTTTGTGCTCTGCAGAAGACAGAAAGTGACACATAGATATATGAAAATGTAAATAACTACATGCATTTACTACTTTTGTGCCAAATACTACATTGATTTGAAGTACTGAAGTGATCGGCTCATTAAAGGTGTATTTCTGTAATCTGTGTTTCTCTGTGGTGTTAGTTTAGTTTGAGCCGTGTTTCTGTCTCCTCGGTAAGGTCTCCTGTGATGGCAGGCGGTCTCTTCGCTGTGGACAGGAAGTGGTTCTGGGAGCTGGGAGGATATGACACGGGTCTGGAGATCTGGGGAGGAGAGCAGTACGAGATCTCCTTCAAGGTGGTGGTTATGATATAAACCTGCTTACACTCGCCATCAGCACACGATCACTGCGCAAATACATCTGATACTGGTATGACTTACACCGGCAACAGTTGCTGTGTCATTATCCTGGGCAATACAGTAGCCTTAATTAATGTATAGACGTCGATGCACATTAAGCTTTGCTGCTTTTCATTTCAAGCTGTTGCTGTGATAACGAACAACAACAGAAAAAAAACCTTGCATCTGAGACGGAGAATAAAACCAGCGACCGTGTGCATTATATTTCTGTTGATTCAGATCATGTATATTAACATATGTGACCCTGGACAGCAAAACGAAATTGAGATGTATACATCAAACAAGCTTTCCATTGATGTATGGTTTGTTCGGTACTAAATTAGTTGTAATCGTTTAATCACCACCACAGCGTCTTGTCTCCATTGGCAACACGCACGATTTGTGGCGATTGCAAGTGACTTCGTAATTTAGTTTCTTTTTTCTTGTCTTCACCACCTGGCTACTGTTGTAAAATGTTGAGAGATTCAAACAAAAAGTAATCAATAAATAGAACAAAATAAAAAATAAAAAAGACTGCAAGTGACGTCGCTAGCGGAAGTGCAAGTGTCTGAGAGTGCAAGCGCCAGCTGCAGCCAGACCCTTCTCCAAATATCCCCCAGCGACTTAAGACTGCTTTTGTGCTGCAGGGTCACACATATCTCAGTCTGCATTCACAGTAAAGTCAGATACAGCGACCCCTAGTGGTTTCAGGAAAACACGCTCTATTTCCAAGATGTGTGTCACAGTTTAGCAGTGCTTCACAGTGATCATTATTGACTGTTTCTGCTCACATCTGATGCCGTGACATATGTTTAGAAACACATTCAGTCATATTTAATCTCCAATCATACACATAATTACTCTGTGTACAACTAAACTGCAAAAGCAGAAGCACGCAGTTTGTCTGATCTGAGTCTGCTGTCTGTAGTACTCGTGTGTTTTCCTTCATTCGTCTGAAAGCCTGTTCTCTTGCTCTCTGAGGTGTGGATGTGTGGCGGTCGTATGGAGGACGTTCCCTGCTCTCGAGTCGGTCACATCTATAGGAAATACATGCCCTATAAAGTGCCAGGCGGAGTGAGTCTCGCCAGGGTGAGTTTGAGCATCAGATCCGGGTCACGCTGAGATCTGACCCCGGTTTGTTTCACGGGCCAGAATCTGTTGAAATATATTCTGATCATTTCTGCAGCTAAAGCAGTGCAGATCTGGGGTGTGTCTCAGACAGAAAGCTGCGTCTGTAAAGAGTCCTCAGCATTACACACTAGAACGAGACGCTAGGCTGGTTTCTGGTGTAGGGCTATAGCCAAGCCGTTAAAATTAGACCACACATTGCCTCGATTTCGCCAGGTGGGCTAAAAGCAGACTACACGTAGCCCGTTCAATTTAGAGCTATATCGTGGCTACATATAGACCATGTCATGAAATGACACGTATATCTTTGTAGATATTATTGACACTGCGAACATGATGGGATATCAACCATCTCATGCGCTGCCTGGCCAAAAACTACAGTGAATCAGGTTTGACTATAAGTGGGGTACAGATAGCCACTCTGACTACGAACTAAATCGTGGCTACGCTCAGGCTACGTATTGAACATGTCAAAGAAATGAAACCAAACACCCTGTAAACGCTGTTGACTTTGCTTACATGATGGAATATCATACATCTCACAAGTTATTTTGCCAAAAAACGACATGAAACCAAATTCAAGGTTATTTGGGCTAGAAGTGGGTTACAAATAGCCGGACTATATCGGGTCTATACTTAACCGAGACGTTGAAATGACGGCTATTGCTTGCTGGAGATGCAGTTCAGTGAATGACAGCCGTCTGCATCTCCAGTGCTTTACATTGTGTGTAGTTTAGCATCACGTGATCAAGAAATGCCCTCATCTCCAAAATCCTGTTTGTCTTTTGAAGTTTGATGAATTAGGATAAGCTCAGCGCTGATTCATTTTCTGCTAATTCTTTTTTTGTGAATTGGTATGTGTGCAAAGGATTGTTGGTGATTCAAAATAGTGAGGGATGTGAAAGGAAGGCCTAGTTTGCTGACGCAGCTTTAGGCCTGAGACTGAGTAACACATGTATGAAAGCGTGTGATCCGCCGCTGTGTTGCAGAATCTGAAGCGTGTGGCTGAAGTGTGGATGGACGAGTATGCAGAGTTTATCTACCAGCGGCGGCCGGAGTACCGGCACCTGTCCGCCGGAGACGTGTCCACGCAGAAGCAGCTGAGGAGCCGGCTGAGCTGCAGGAGCTTCCGCTGGTTCATGACGGAGGTGGCCTGGGATCTGGCCAAACACTATCCTCCGGTGGAGCCTCCGGCCGCTGCGTGGGGAGAGGTGAGGAGCTACACTAGTCTACAGTTACAGCTAGGACACAACAGAGCGCTCTGAACGTGTTTAAAGATGAAGTCTTCAGCTCGGGACACAGCAAGCCAAAGTCTGTTGGGTTACACTCATACATTCAACATGTGAGTTTAGTGCACGGGTCAGTGCAGGAGAATACAAGTGAAAGTGATGTAAACTAGTAACTAAATGAAGGCGGCTCAGACAGAAGGCTGTTCTAATGTTGCGTGATCTTTCCCAAGCATCCCGATATGAGAATGTTTTCATAACAACATGGGCCGCTTAAAATTGAAGAAAGTTATCAACGTTACTGATGTTCAAAATAGTGAGCAAGCGCTGCTTTGTTTACGCTTCGTATATCTTGAATATCCTTATTTCGGTTTCTCCTTTAGAATGATGAATATTTACTATTGAGATCTGCTGATGTAGAGAGTTCATTCCTCTCACACAGGCACACAACATGTGTTAGTTTCAAACCTTTGTCTTAACACGCGCGTGTGTGTCTCTCTCTGTGTGTGTGTGTGTGTGTGTGTGTGTGTGTGTGTCTCTGTGTGTGTGTCTGTGTGTATGCGTGCATGCGTGTGTGTTTGTCTGCGTGTGCGTGTGTGTGTGTGTGTGTCTGTGTCTGTGTGCGTGCGTGTGTTTCAGCTGCGTAACGTCGGCTCCGGTCTCTGCATGGAGAGCAAACACTTCTCCTCTGGCTCCCCGATGCGTCTGGAGAAGTGTCTGAAGGGACGAGGCGAGTCGACCTGGAGTCACGGTCAGGTGAGAGATTTAGATCCGTTCCCAGAGAATTGTGTGTCTGAAGCTACAGGTAGATTCTGTGTTTCTCAGTGCATTATCTGGGTGATGTCTGACTGCGTAATGAAGGTACAGAATATGCAGTGTTGCTGAATGCTGTAATGCAGTATGTTGTGCAGGTCTTTACGTTCGGATGGAGAGAAGACATACGGGTGGGAGACCCGCTGCACACTAAGAAGGTCTGCTTCGACGCCGTGTCTCACAACAGCCCCGTGACGCTCTACGACTGCCACGGGATGAAGGGGAACCAGCTGTGGGCCTACAGGAAGGTACTGAGCTCATCTGCCCAGAGATCAAACATTACAAACATTAGTCACAGTAAATGCTTCTGTCAGCTGAGTTTATTATTCCAAGTTTATTTTGAACTTCCTGCCCACTTCCCCGCCAGCCACGCCCACATCACAACATCCAATCAACAACCGATGCTCTGACCCAAGTCCCGCCCTACAAATAGAGATAGTTTAATAAATAGGGTGACCATACGGGATGCACCCTTGCCAGGATTTCTGTATTGCCTAAAATATGCAGGTTTTGTCTGTTAGCACTGTGCAGGTCGATCGTTGTATGACATTATTTCACGAGAGCTATGGAGAGCAGAGCAGACGGCTGCTTGCGGTACTTTGGTGTCATACAATGATCGGTGTGCAGCGAAGAACAAACACATGCGTGTATTTGCATCGCTTTGATCGCTCTCACGCACCACGATTGGTCAATTATGTACAATACCTGCATGTTATTGGTCAAACTACTTTGGATGTTTTAGGCAATATACAACCCCTGGCCAGGACGCGTCCCGTATAAATGTCACACATGGCCACCCTATTAATAAAAGCAGTCAGAAGAGAAAACCATGTCAGATTTACTTTACTTTAGAGATTAGAACCAGCCTCACCCTCATCAGCAAACAAAACTGTGCCTGATTGTTGTCATGTGCAGGTATAAACTGTGATGTGTGTGCGTGTGTGTGTCTGTGTGTGTGTGTGTCTCTCTCTGTGTGTGTGTGTCTCTCTCTCTCTCTCTGTGTGTGTGTGTGTGTGTGTGTGTGTGGCAGGATAAGAGCCTCTATCACCCCATCAGTAACAGCTGTGTTGACTCTGATGCTGCACAGAAGCGGATCTTCATGAACTCCTGCGATCCCTCGTCTCTCAGCCAGCGGTGGCTCTTCCAGAACACCAACGCCACGGTCTTAGACTCCTTCAACAGCAATCTCAACGAGTGACGCTGCAGCCGTGAACACGCCAGAGATGCAGCTCCTGTGCCTTTACTGAACTGATCGTCTGAAACAGCTGCGCTCTGTCCTTCTGTCCACACTCCCTTCATCATCATCATCATCATCATCACCAGCAGCAGTCTTTGACTCAGACTCTCCAGACTTCGCTGTGTGTCTGAGGAGAATCTCAGAGATGAGTTGTGATTGTGCATCTGTTCATTCATCTTCCCGTCTCTGACTCTTGTGTGCGGTTCACAGACGTCACAGCCGTCGGGTGTCTTGCAAACTCTGTCAGATCTTCCTACAGAAACGCCGGTCTGATGCTGTCCCTCGTAAACACTGACAGCGTTATTTATTTGACTGCTCCATTCCACAGATTCATTGGGTTCATCATGAATGATGAAACGGCAGCCTTTACTGAGTGCTGTTTTTTAAAACTTGATTTAATTATCCAACTTCTCTTGTTTTTTCATTTTAGAGGACATGATATTTTAATACAAAGACCCTGTTGGCTAAAATCATGCCATCATTCAGAAGCTGTTATATTCTGTTCGGTTTGTCCGTGGGGAAATCTCAAATAATCAATCCTGTTATGATTTTGTACTGTACACCAGCATGCAGTTGATTAAGAATTACTTTAAAACTCTCACAGCAGAAGACTCGACTGTGTTCTACTGGATTATGTGATCAGTTGCACTTCATGATGTTTTATTTCCACCGTCTGTCTGTGATTTAACAGCTGTTTCTCAGTAACCGCTCGCACCCAAAGACAGATCCGTGAATGATCTCCAGTTTCTAATGCACTGAATCCAGTCGAAGCACACCGAAGTCTAGTTTTCTACATTCAGAGCGTTTTTACCATTTGAAGACTTTTACAGATTATCTGCCAAGCACTTTGAAATGTTTCTTTGATCCGAAGCTGTGTTAAAGTCGATCTCTCCAGCACTTTCAGACGTTTCTTTGTCCAGAGCCTATTTTCGAGTATTAACGGTTTTGTAATTTCTGTCGATTCTGAAGAATTCATAATGAATTATTGTGTCTGCTGGACCGCTGTGTCAGACACGTGTTTAATACTGGACTCGCTCTTGAGCTGAAATGTTTGGTTTGTTATTGCTTTGATGAATTTCCAGACTGTGTGTGGAATATGATGAGATGATTGACAGCTAATAAGTCTTGGGTTGATGGGGAATGCTAGTATTTTTACACCGGTTTGTCGGTACTGATGCATTAAAATTGTTCTGCCACCATTTAAATTGCTCATCGTAAATTATTAATAATGCACAGAAAAATGTGTAGTCTGTTCTGTTCTGTTATTTTTCTTTTCGTTTTTACCAATAATATTATGCTGTCATAGAAAAACCATTAAATCATTTTCTCCTTTAGTACAAATATTATTGTACAACTGTTCTGGTCTTATTTTAAATAGTTTTGTCTGAATTCAAACTGAGTTTTTATAGCATCTTTAGGAAGCTGTTAAAGATGAAGATTTACTCGCAAGCTTCAGTTTGTGGAGATCTGAAATCATTATTCCATCATTATTCAGATCTGCATCAGCTCGTGTTTGGGAATGGATTCATTCAGTGAACTCATATCGAATGGTATTTTTCAGAAGAAAGCACTTCAGGTGTGTTTTTCTCCAGCAGGCCTTTTGACAACAACAAAAGACGGAAGCACTCTCTCCTTCCTTTTTAAAGTTCCTAACTCATTTATTTCGCTGTTTTATCGAAGTCCAGTTTTATGTTGGGCTGCATGTACTCTGGAGGAGTAGTGACTGCATCAGGTGTCAGGTTTCTAAATGTATGGTTTCAGATGCGGGACACTTTCAGAACACGCGTAGCCCGCCGTGTGTGTGTGTGTGTGTGTGTGTGAGAGAGAGAGAGAGAGTGTGTGAGAGAGAGAGAGAGAGTGTGTGAGAGAGAGAGAGAGAGTGTGTGAGAGAGAGAGAGAGAGTGTGTGAGAGAGAGAGAGAGAGTGTGTGAGAGAGAGAGAGAGAGTGTGTGAGAGAGAGAGAGAGAGTGTGTGAGAGAGAGAGAGAGAGTGTGTGAGAGAGAGAGAGAGAGTGTGTGAGAGAGAGAGAGAGAGTGTGTGAGAGAGAGAGAGAGAGTGTGTGAGAGAGAGAGAGAGAGTGTGTGAGAGAGAGAGAGAGAGTGTGTGAGAGAGAGAGAGAGAGTGTGTGAGAGAGAGAGAGAGAGTGTGTGAGAGAGAGAGAGAGAGTGTGTGAGAGAGAGAGAGAGAGTGTGTGAGAGAGAGAGAGAGAGTGTGTGAGAGAGAGAGAGAGAGTGTGTGAGAGAGAGAGAGAGAGTGTGTGAGAGAGAGAGAGAGAGTGTGTGAGAGAGAGAGAGAGAGTGTGTGAGAGAGAGAGAGAGAGTGTGTGAGAGAGAGAGAGAGAGTGTGTGAGAGAGAGAGAGAGAGTGTGTGAGAGAGAGAGAGAGAGTGTGTGAGAGAGAGAGAGAGAGTGTGTGAGAGAGAGAGAGAGAGTGTGAGAGAGAGAGTGTGTGTGTGTGTGATGAGTGGTGTGTGTGTGTGAGAGTGACTGTGTGTGTGAGTGTGTGAGATGGAGAGAATGAGGAGGTCTGAGCAGCTCATCAGCTCTTTATTTTCTGAGTGTTTTATGCTTGCGATGCTTAAATCTCTGATCTGTAGAGTTGTGTTGTGATACACGCTTCACTGACAGCTTTTGCTTTAAGACTTCTGATTTACTCTGATCTCAGCGCTGTTCACTGTCAGTCACCAGAGTCACCACTACATCATCTGCTGATCCCAGCGACTTAACACTGCTTTTGTGCTGCAGGGACACATATATATGTCTTCACTGGTGGCCTTTCAGAAGTATCTCTGACAGTAATGTCATGAAGTTATGGCTGTTTTGTGCTGCTGGTGTTGTAGTGAATATCTGTGTGTAAATCTGCTGCTGCCACACACTCTCACACATACTCACACACACTCTCACACACACTCACACTCACACTCAC